TTTTCACAAGATTTTAAACAAACATTTATTAACACAACTATATTACTCTTTAATACACTGTTATATTAATTATGTTAACATTAACTTATACACTGTCATATTAATTATGTCAACATCGCATGGCGGTAGTATCCATAAAAGTAAATTAAAGCCACTTTATTGTCAGCAGAAGCATATTGTACGTCTTATAAATTTCAAAAATCGTTATACTCACTCAATGCCACTCTTATTTAATATGAATGTTTTTAATATATATCAAGTAAATGTTTATAATGTTCTTTATTTTATGATTAAATGTAAAACCAACTCATCTCTAGCTTCCTTTTTTGATTTATACTCTTTAAAAGAAAATAATAAATATTCATTAAGAAATGATAATTTTATAAAACAACCAAAATTTAAAACAAACTTTGGTAAAGTTTGCATTTCTTTTCGTGGACCTTTTTTATGAAGCCAAATAATTTTAAAAAGTTTTGATTTTTCTCATGAATGGAATTATTATATGTTCAAAAGAAAACTAAAAAAAGTAATTTTCTCAATTGTAAATATATATTATATACTTTTAATTATACCCAGTTTTGCCATCACTCATTTATATTTTACTTTTATACAATATTGATTGAAAGTTTATGTGAGAAACTTTATTTAAACACCATTATTTGAATTTTGTTAAAAGTTGCACTTACATTACTTGTACATTAGTCATTTATAATTTACTTGTTTACTTTAATTTTTATTTTAATTCGTAATATTTGTAAATAATTTGTCTTACGAACGGTATATATACTTTTAATATCAAATTCAATTTTGTAATGAAAAAGTAAATAAATAAATAAATAAAATATATATATATATATATATATATATATATATATATATATATATATATATATATATATATATATATATATATATATATATATATATATATATATATATATATATATATATATATATATATATATATATATATATTCTGCTAAATAATTTGTCTTACGAATGGTATATATACTTTTAATATTAAATTCAATTTTGTAATAAAAAATAAATAAATAAATATATATATATATATATATATATATATATATATATATATATATATATATATATATATATATATATATATATATATATATATATATATTCTGCTAAATAATTTGTCTTACGAATGGTATATATACTTTTAATATTAAATTCAATTTTGTAATAAAAAATAAATAAATAAATAAATATATATATATATATATATATATATATATATATATATATATATATATATATATATATATATATATATTATATATATATATATATATATATATATATATATATATATATATATATATATATATATATATATATATATATATATATAAATATATATTATTAAACAAAAAAAAAAATTTTGATGTATGTCAATGGATGTTTCTGCAAATATTGTATGTATGTTACTTCTGCAAGTTAACCATCCTTTGACAGTGGTTTAGCATTTTTTTTAGTGGAAGCGTAAACGTAAACGCACCAACATTCGATAATATTGGCTTCACACAGTGACGCCATCATTTGGCTTTCTAAATTCTTCTACACAATCTTTTGGACAACCTTGAAGTGCATTTGGATGTACCTAGTGCAATCATATTCTTATTATTTTCGTTTATTTATATATTAATTAACAATTAAGATTAGTGAAATTGTAAGATACATTTAAGTAACAAGATTCAGTGATCGTATAGATGCGAGTAAAATGCGAGACGTATTAGTTTATCATGAATATTTTGATATTATTTTCTTCGCTTGATTCATGCGGTTTAGAAGAATTAGTATTTTAATTTTAAAGCCATAAAGACCATATCTAAAAAAAAGTTCAAAATTTGTATTTATTTGTTTTTGTTTTTTCTAAAATCTGAATTAAGTTCAAAGTTCTTCAACAGCGGTTCTCGGTGACAAGACCTGTATGGTCTTCTTTGAATATCCGCGTTCTTTATCTTTATTCTTTATTTTTTAATGGTTTCTTTGCATGTAATTTTTATTATTGATATATTTGTAAATATTGTATTATACATTGTAATAAAGAACAAAAAAAAAAATTATGTTCTAGCTATGATATTGACCCTGAAATTTTTTGAAACTGCTGCAGTCTCTCATCAGTCACTGATTTAGTTATTTCTCTTTACAATTGGTATGTAATACCACCTAGTACCTGGTGCTCACAAAATTTTAGTGTACGGAGTTCAGGTATCAGAATCCTTAAAACATTAAATTTTACTCAAAAGAGGCTCAAAAGATTTTAAACAAAGAAAATCGAAATACCAGATTGAATCATTCTTCTAGGATTTCAAGGTAAATGTTATGAAGAACAATGTTTTCCATTGAACCACAAATGGTTCAATGGAAAATAACTACCAGAAAATGTCTGAAAGTTTAACAATAAGCAAATATTAGTAAAGTTAAATGATACATAACGTATTTTAAGAGAATTAAAATCATTTAAATGCTAAGCATTATTTTATTACTAATTTTTATTCCTATTTTATTTGGAAATATACGAAATGGCCTTTGTATAATGTCTGCACAAAAAAAAAAAAAAAAAAAAAAAAAAAAAATGGAGATAGTAAAAGAGTAGTAAAACTCTATTTTCGACCTAAAAAGTTATTTTTTGACCCTTAGTTCATTTAATTTAATATATAAAAATAAATAAATGTCCAATTATATACTAAAATTTCTCACCAGTCTATTAGACTGCTGGTCAGAGTTGTAAAATTTACTTTTCAACCTGAAAAAAAATTCGAGGTTAAAAAAAAATCAAATCACAATCTAGAATTGTCAGATCTAAAGTATTAAGCATATCTTTTAAAAAACATAAAAAACACCGAAGTACCATAAAAAAGACCATAGCCATATAATGTTTTTAAAATGATTGTTATATAAATAATAAAAAAAAAAAAAAAAAAAAACTGAATTTGAAATATAGTTTTTTATTTCTATGTATAAACATTCTTTAAAAACCGTTGTTATAAAAGTATCCAATAGAGTAATGTATCAAAATAGTTTGTTTTGACTTTAAGATTCAAATATTTATTAACTTAAATTATTTTTTACGCGTGTAGTCTAATGTAACGCGCGCATAAACTTGTATACATGCATTGCACGAGTCAAAGCTGTGCATGAAAACAAAAAAAAATTATGAACAAATTTGGATTCTTTGACCCAAAAAACTATTATTTCAGCATATAACATGTTTATTTAAATGCTTGTCAAAATTTGTCGAATTTTTGTTGTTTTTTAATCATTCTGTGGCAAACAACAAAAAATCAATTTTGTTTGTTAGGTTAGAAAAGTGTAATATTTTACGTTGATTCAACGGTGTATTTTAAGCTGGCTCAACGTTGCATTTAATGTTTATCAGAGTTAAATTTGTTAACACATTTTTTCTCTTTTATATTGTTATTATTGTTATTATTATTAATAATATTATGATTGTTACTTTTTCTAGTCGTTATTAATTGAACTATTAATATGATCGGTCAAGTTTACTTTAAACTTGACCGATCATTTTATCTTTGAGGTTAAAAGTTACTTTACGGTTACGTAATTTACGTGATCAGATCTTCAAGTATGAATATTTTTACTTCATAAAATCAATTTTCCTCTGACTCACTAGCATTTGCAAACATAAATTGCGGTGGCTTATATTGGTCTTTAAGAAAGGTAACTCTTAAAAAATGAAGCATACTTCAATTTCTGCTTGTATCAAATGAATATGCTTTGCAAAAAAAGTTCCACAATTTCTGCATCAGCACTTTTTTGTTGTTGTTGTTCTTCATTACATGATTTAAAATGGAAAAATTTCCTTTAAAGTATATGTACAAGTTCAACAATAAAGTATAAAGAACTAGGATGTTACTTTTTTCGTTTTATAGTATTGATCTTTATTGTATTGATAAATATTGATCAAATACTTGTAATGTAATTTCATATTCTTTCTTCATCTGTAATAATGTAAACTCTTTTGTGATACATCTGTACAATGCTACTCTTCTGGTATAAAGGTTTATGAATATGCACATACACATACAAACGCACACATCTATACACATACACACATATACATTTACACATATCCAGATACATACATACATACATACATACATACATACATACATACATACATACATACATACATACATACATACATACATACATACATACATACATACATACATACATACATACATACATACATGCATACACACATATACATACATATACACACACTTGAAATGTGCAGTGGCAGATTAAGACTTCTTGGGGCCCAGGGCTCTTTTTGTTTATGGGTCAGAGCCTATAAATGAATTAAAAAAAAAAAAAGGTCCTCTAAAATTTTGGGGGGCCCTAAATTTGCGGGGCCAAGGGCTTTAGCCCCCTTAGCCCCCTCCTCCCTTGATCCAGCACTGGAAATGTGAGGGTATTAAGTTAATGAATTTTATAATTTATCATTTTAAACTAAATTTCTATTTATTGCAGATTTCAAATTTCATCTAATAGTTCGAAAGTTATGTAAACTACCCATAAAAATAAAAAAAAACTCTAATGAATGCAATTTTTGCAAAGCATTTTTATTTGATATAAAGTTAAACATACTCAAGTTTGAAGTTTGATCCATGTCTGAAAGTTACTTATTTTCTAAACACCCCTTCTACATCTTCTAAACATTTTTCTTCTTAACTCCATCTATCACCATAAATCTGTCGCAACCCCTAAAATAATGATAACTAATCTCTTATCTAATTAGTTACTAGGTTTCATTACTTATTATTTACTATTAAATTTCCGTTTACAAAGGTAAAAAACGAAATCATTTTACCTATGCAAAATGTGATTTTTATGTTTCTAATAATGAAAAAGATTTCAAGGTAAATATTTTTTATAAAGTTATACGATGCGAAAAGTTTCGATTTTTATGGAAATCATTCGTCAGAAGCGAAGTTTAAGATAAGTAAATATCAATTTCAACAATCAATACGGACTTAAACCAAAAACATGGCTGACGATGAGCAAGATTCTGATCTAGAAAATTCATTAAAAGACGAAGAAGAAAATAAAGATCAATATGCTCCAAGATATGTAAAAATTAAAAAAGGAGAAAAAGGGTTCGGATTCAATGTCCGAGGTCAAGTATCAGAAGGTGGTCAGATGAAAGCAATTAACGGCCAGTTGTATCCTCCTCTTCAAATGATCAGTGCAGTTCTGGAAGGAGGTCCTGCAGATAAAGCAAAAGTTCGTGTTGGCGATCGTATTCTGGAAGTGTGAGACTATTTTATTGGGTTATACTTATAATACTTTGCTTTTCAGTTCATTATTTATTTTTAACCTGTGGCGAACTATGTTATAAAATTATAATATTTTTTTCAATTATAAAAGTTATATTTAAGTTCAATTTTACAATCAAATCTTTTGTTTTTCAATTTTAAAACACAATCAAATAATAGATTCATAAAAATTTCCATAGTAAATTTTATTAGTACAAAAAAATTGTTTTGTTATTGCATTTTGAATTGCTTGCTTTTCACTTACCAGGGTTGTATAAATTTAACCTAATAAGTTGAAGTTTTGATGGAAATTTTGGGTGATTTATAGATATACAGATTTATAGACATGCACTTTTTGTCTTCTATATACAATTTTTATTTTGTTCATAATATTAATAATTTTATTAATATTGCTTAGTGTTAGATAGTTTAGTTGTGTTAGATAGTTTAGTTGTGTAAAACAATTTTAAAATTTCTTAGAAAATTCGAAAATTTTCAGCAAAGTACTTATAAACATAAAATATTGTTAAAAAAAATAAAATAAATAAAAAACAACATAAAATCACATACACATAGAAAAAAAAAACACATGTGGAAAGGAATACTGGTACCAGTATTCCTTTCCACATGTGTTTTTTATTTCATGTATTTTTTTATTTCTTTGTTCAGGGTGTTCATAAGGATGATTGTTATAACTTTTAACTATTAAGGCTAATCATGGTTAACCTGAATGGTTAAAAGTTATAACAATCATCCTTATAAACACCCTGAACAAAGAAATAAAAAAATATAAAATTTTTATTTTAGAAATGGGGTTAACTGTGAGGGAACTGACCACAGAGCTGTTGTTGATCTTATTAAACAGGGAAAAGATTATCTTACATTGCTTATTATTTCTGTCTCTCCAAGCGAGGCACGTAAACTTGATGGGTCAGAGGTATGTGGCAGTGACTACATAGATTATTCCGATCGAAGAAGTATTCCTATTACAATACCAGATTTCAAATATCTAGAGAAAGATGGAGAGAAATATGTGGTAATTTTTTTATTTAAACTTTCTTTTTTTATTTAAACTTTATTAAAACTTTCTTTTTTTATTTAAACTTTATTAAAACTTTCTTTTTTAATAATAAGATATTTCAAAAAAAATTTTAAATTTAATGGTAATTTAATGATGTAATGACTGTTATGGAACTAATTGCTTTGTAAGCAAGTAGTTCCAAGTTCAATCTTTTAGTACTGCACCTAAGCTAATTCTTTTAATCTTTACTTAATTTCTACTTAATATTGGTTTTAATATTTTAATACAATGTTTTAACATTTGTTCAACTAATGTTAAATATTTTGTAAGTATAACCATTTCCTTTATATAGCATATTTAAAATTCTCAAAAAGATTTCCATAGAAAATAGTCCTTTCATTTAAAAAATAAAATAAGTCAAAAGTGTGACAGTTGATGGACTATTAGTTTTTAAATTGTTATTTTCCTTTCTAATATCAAATTTAAAACTGACATTTATTTAAATACAAACAAAAATTGAAGTATATAATATATAATTGTATTATTTGTATAATAGCATTAATTTTTTTTGCATATATTTGGTTTTACATTTTAAATAGGTTTACAATATATATATCAATGGAAAGTATAGATGTTGTCGTCGTTACAATGAATTTGCAAATCTGCACAGTGATGTATGTATTTTTCACATGTATTTTATTCACCCTTATTTCAACTTCTATGTTTAAATATATATATATATATATATATATATATATATATATATATATATATATATATATATATATATATATATATATATATATATACACACACACACACACATACATATACAGAGGTTGACATCGCTACCCCTCGGACAATTCTTGAGATCAGTTGGAAAAGCAAAAAGTCATCAGTTACCCCCCTCAAACAGTTCTCAAAAATAAAATTGATGGGCTTGAATGTCCGTCACTTATTTTGACCTCTGATATATGCATATATATATATATATATAGATACAGGAGCTATTCTTGACCATTTTCAACAGCATCGACTGTATTTGGGTGCCGATTTGTTTATAATATGTAATTTGATTTCAATAAATTGGCAGCATATAACTAGTTTCAAATAAATTTTGATATAGTAAAATATTAAGGATATTTCACTGACCTATTGTGGTCAGCATCATCATGTAATAATAAAACATTACAAAATAACATAAAACAAACCGTTTGAAAAGAAGACAATAAAAAGTGTCAAATATAAAAACCAAATAAATAATATAATAATGACGTCATTATAATTTTATTTAATTGATTTTTACATTTAATGCTTTTTAACGTCTTCTTTTTAAACGGTTTGTTTTATGTTACTTTATAATGTTTTATTATTACCTGATGATGCTGACACACAGCTAAACTTACCAAAAAGGAAAGAAATATAAAACTTCAACAAGCTTTAAAGTGAAACTAAAAAAACTTGAGTTAAAATTACTTTTGTAACGTTTTTAATTGCATTTGAAAAAAATTGCTTTAACACTTATGTTTTAAAATGTTTAATTAAAGTTATGCAAAACGCTTTTACAAATTACTTCTATTGATTGTTTGATAAATAAACAAATTTTATTTAAATTTTTGAAAAGTAAAGTTAAGTTATTTAAAAGGAAAAAAAAAAATATTTTTAAGTTGTATAAACATTTTTTTCAAAAAGTTGCACAAAAAATTGTTATAAAAAAATTATAAAGTCTTTTAAAAATCGTAATTTTTAATCATTGCTATTAATAATCATGCTTTAATTAGCTAGTCAAGTTTAAAAAATCAACTTTTAAACAAATAGAAAAAATAATTATAAGAAAGCAATTAAATCATGGGAAGATATAAAGTAACATAAAAAAATAATGTTTTAATGATTTTTAGAAAGACAAGGAAAAATAGTTTCAAATGTTTAAATTTATCATAAAAAATACATAGCTTCTAAAAAATATATTTAAATATAAATTTAATTTACACATATTACTTTAATTTTAAATGATCATTATAATTAATTTTTGATTTTGTTTAAAATCTTTGCATAAAATAAAAACTTTAAAAAAAGATCAATTATTAAAAGGTATTCATAATGTAACGATTTTTTTATTTCATTTAAATTGTTAAAACATCAAAACAGCTGTTGTCAAATTGTAAAGAAAAAAAAAACTAAGCGTTGTCAGTTACAGAGTGAAAATTTATCTATCTAAAAAAACATATAGTTTTAAGTTAAAACTATTTTATTAAAATACAAAAGTCTGCAATGAAATATTCTAAATAATAAGGAAAGAAACTACAACTTCACTAGACTAACATTAAACTGAATAATATAACAAAGATTTCGATTGCATAACTTGCTTCCATAAAACCGTGAAAATTATATTTTAAAAATTTGATCTAACTCTGTCCGACCCAAGCAAGTTTAGATCAGACATTTTGTCTGGGAATTTATAAAAAATTAAATAAGGCCCTTATATATATATATATATATATATATATATATATATATATATATATATATATATATATATATATATATATATATATATATATATATATATATATATATATATTTATATATATACCCATATAGTGTAGCTTAAAGAGCATTTTAATGTAAAAAAAGTCTCTTACGACTACAATTTTAATTACCTCGTCTCTTAAGCTGTTTTTGATTGTCATCGAAATGTCAAAGCAATTAATTTATGCGGAAGTACATTAAATTTAATTGTTTTTTAAAATTTTTTTAAAAAACCGCAATTATAACGACTAAAAAGTTTTTTTTAATTAGTAGTGTTTTTGTTATTGATTTAATAAAAAACATTTTTAAAACATGCGTAAATGTTGCTACATCGACTATCTTATAGCCTGACTCGCAACGGAGTGCTGCTACATCGACTGACAAATAGCCTGACTCGCAACGGAGTGCTGCTACATCGACTGACAAATAGCCTGACTCGCAACGGAGTGCTGCTACATCGACTGACAAATAGCCTGACTCGCAAGGGAATGCTGCTACATCGACTGACAAATAGCCTGACTTGCAAGGGAGTGCTGCTACAACGACTGACAAATAGCCTGACTCGCAAGAGAGTGCTGCTACATCGACTGAGGGTTTGGTTTGGCCAGGCAGTCTATCAATTAAAAAAAAAAATTTAATTATTAA